CTCATTATCTACACCTCAAGTAACTGCAAACTGCATTTCGGCAAAGGTTACCATCAGGTTTCATGGTTTTAATTCGGCCTCTGAGCTCAGATAAACCAGCATAAGAGTCCCAGAGGGCCTTCCACCTGTAATCAATTTCTCCGCATCCAATGCCATTATTCTGTTTGGTTTGATTTTGCTGGATCGCTATTGTGGCTAATCCTTTTCATACACTTTACCTTGCTGAAGTTCCCCAAATAAGGCTTGATATTAAAGTTAGATGACAGGCAGGCTGGTCAGAAAGGCAGTATTTCTTTTGCAGTTCTGTGAGTGTTATGCACCTATAGATGATGAAAGTAGTGCTGGTGTGATTCTCCTTGCAATTTATGCAATATTCTGGTCAATAAGTGCCTTGTTGAAATATGCATTAAAAAGTCCATAACATTAGTGTAATGGACACACTCCAGCACACCTCTCTGGTCTGGCTTCCTCATAAAGATTTTAAACGACTGTCTTAATGAGATCCTAATATTAACAGGAATATTACATAAAGCTAAATGAGGACATAAACTTCAACTGAAAGCTACTTCCACCCAAGCCCCTGCCCTCTGGTCTGCACACACAGAATCGTTCTGGAACATTTTTATTTGCCATCTTGGTTCCACTGACTGCTTATTTTTTAAGCTTTTAGCAACAAATTGTGCCTTCTCCCATAACAAGAGCTTCCAAATCTGTCAGAGAAAACCAAAAATTACCTCGCTTGGGTTTGAATCGCAATAATCTTGATTACTGTCCTGGCGCTTCTTCGATCGAAGCATTAGGAAACTAATGAGACAACCTACAATACAGTAGATGAACTTGGTCACTTCCTACTTTTCTTTGTGTTTTGTTTTTTTTTTTTTTTTTGATGTTGCTGATTTTGTCCTAATGAGCTGTTACGAAGGACTCCAAACAGAAATCTGTTGATGCAGGTCACTGTACCTCCTCTCCATTCATTAACAACCAAGAAGCTACTTTGAACCCTTCAAGTAACATCCAAACCACCCCTTCCAGAGCTGCCCCATTACAGTCATCCCTATAAAGCAGACACATGTACAAAGTTCTGGCAAAGCAGCCCCAGTTAGATCAGTCAGGGGCTTCCTTAGGCAGTAATGAAGACCAAGAGGAGACTTGTGGCTATTAAGTTTCCTCTTTCGATTCCATATCACAGCATGCTCAGTCAAAGCTATTTTGGTGCTTCACTGATCAAACTGATTTTTCCCTTTGATGATAATATGAAATATGCTAGGATAATAGGGCTGTTATATAATCGAAGTCGACAGCAGGGAGCTAAATTTGTGTTGTTTTGACGAAGAGCACATTAGTGTGACACAAATAGACTAATCTGATTTATTATTATTATTTCTAATGCTTAATAATAGGGAAGGGTAAGGGAAATGAGACTTTGGAGAATGAGGGTGCATCACAAAGTGATAGCAGATGGGTGTGTGCTACGGAAGCACAGGTTGGGTGTTCCGGGTATTGGGATGTCTTGTCCCAAGCAGCACCACTACTACCCGCTTCTAGCTGCGTTTCAAAAGAGTGAGGAGTGAGCAAGAGAGGTTGTCCTGAAAGAAATAATGTCTTATGTGGGATAAAACTAATAATGTACCCTAGAAAATACTCTGTGAAAAGCAGCGTTGTGGGAAGAAAACTAGTACTTATGTAGGGCAATAAGAAGTCAGAGACAGAGCAGACAAAAATCAGCTCACCTTTCACTGACTGATTTTTTCATGTGTAACTGAAAAGCTGGGATTAACCTTGGACAAAAGCTTCCCTTTCATGATACTGCCTGTTCCAGTTCCAGACAGCCCAAGTCATTATTCACACATCAGTCAAGAACCACAAAAACAATGGAAGAGAGAGGCGTATTTTGCCTGGTGTCCTGCTGTGTACACGTGAGAGTTCTTGGATTTGTGGCTGCTCACAAAGCGAAGTCCTGCAAGGGCTCATGCAAACATCTGGATGCACGCCGTCTTGCAAAGGCAATGTCTTGCCGCTTTAAAATCTCATGTGTAACAAAAATACAGATTGGACAGAATTACGGGTTCTTCAGGCAGAAAATAAAAATAATAAACATATTTTAAAATCCTAAAGAATGCAGATACATTTTAGCAAAACACTTTCCCACGTACACAGTCATTACAGCTTTTAGACTTAAAAGTATCACTATGGACATCTACTCTGGCTCCTTCATATCAACAAACATAGAGTTCTTCAACCACATCTATAAACTTCGACTAAGCTAAAGCAGAGCTTTTATAAAGCCATTGAGTTTTAATGCAAAGACTCTAAGTGGCCGATAACCCATGACATGCCGAGGTAAGTTGCTCCCCTGGTTAAATACCCCATGTATTAAATTTTGCTCTTCATTTATGGTTCCAGAGGGAAGATGTAGTAAGAAATCAGCTAGAGCACATAACAGCTTTGAACTTCTGGAATTCAACGTGATTTATAGGACATTAAAATATTATTTTTATATGCAGCAGAAATAGAATTTTCCTCTTTTCTTAAAGGAAAAAAAAGAGGAAAAATCTAACCAGTATTTTATATGGTGTAATCTTTTTTTCACAAAACTGTTTAATTTATCTGCTAAAAGTCCTGTTACAAAAGTCCTCCTTCAGTAGACAGAGAGCATTTCACTCAAGTTCTGCAAAATCCCAAACTTTTCCTGCTTTTCTCCAGTGTCAAATGCATCCAGCCATCGTACACAATATGGATGTGTATGTTATTTGCACTTCTGGGATGCCACAAGCCAAGACTACAAAAGTGAATTTGGGCGGCACAGTGAACCCTACGGGCCACCCCTGTGGAAACCAGCTTCTAGGTGGCAATCACTGAGGTGGTTTAACACATCCTGAAACTGCTTTTCTAGGTGTGCTTGCTTCAATACTCCTGCCATCAGCATTCGCCTTAGGACACAGTACCAGCAGCACAGCATTAATGCTCTCCTACTGTGCTGGAGGATGTTATCCCCCCACGTTAGGCAGAAAAAGTCCATCCTCATCCATCCTCATTATGAATCCTAAATTATTTCTTCACTAATCTTAATGGAGGTTTTCATGCCACAGCAATTTATAATCCCAAAGGAAGCTGCATACGGGAGTCAAAGTCATGGATACTTGCTTTTCATTTACTTGTTGAAACACAGATAGGGAAATTAGGAGAACATGAACATATTTGATATAGCTAATCATTTAAAGCTAGGGAGAAGAGAACAGAGGAGGAATGGCTTTCCTTATTTCTCCCTATTAATGCTCTTTATAGATGCCTCTTTGAAAGGGTATCAACATCCATCAGCACACATAGCAAAGAGCTGGGGCTCGTACAAGACCACATCATCCAGTTTAAAAAAAAAAAACCCAACAGGATTATTGCTTTTACACTGAGAGCACAAAATGGTTGAATCAGCAGGAGGTGATTAGTGCCAAAAAAAGATGGGGTTTGTATGGTGACTTAACACGGAAGGTGATTTAAAAGATAGGATTAAATCAGAGACAAAGGTGCAGGTTTATAAAACTCCCAGTCCTACCCCTGTCAAATCAAAGATAAATCTCCCAAAGCACTAAATCCCATGTAATCGTTGCAAATTCCTATTGTCTTAAAAGGGAGCTGGATTAGGCCTCTAATTCAGTTCTGTAAAGTCTGTTTGGTCCAGATGAACAACCGAGAGATGGACAATCTCCAAGGAACAACCCTATGACATGGTCTCAACAACCTCCATTACAACTTGCCAACGTGATCACTCCCCACGTAACCCTCCAAACACTGGAGTAAAACCGCTTTTGCCCATTACTGCTAAATGCATTTTGCCTTTCCACCTAGCAAAAAAGCAATATCACATCTAATCTCACAAGTTCCCAGTGAGCCAAACACAAGATACTGTCCCTTGAATTCTTCCTGAGACCAACAAAGGCTTTCCATTATTTACAAATCAAAAGCATTTAGAGACAATCACCTTTATTTTTTTATTTAAAACAAGGAATGCCCTGTCACTATTATATAAGAAAAAATATACATCCACCTATTTATACCCATCCTCATCCAAGCATTCCAAAAAATATAATTCCTATTCATGCAGGTAATTGCTGCACAAAATAATAATAATAATAATAATAAAAATTCCACTTGTGAATTGTTGGAACAGTTGAAAATTATAAAAGTAAATATAGTTAAACCAATAGGATTATTTGCTTTTGATTATTAATTCCGTTGCTAGTTTTTCTTGTGTTTTTATTATGCATACCAGTTTTACAAAGTGCATGCTTTATTTTATTTATTTTTTTTTAAATTTTGAACTGGCAAGCTAAAATGATCCATCTTTTCCTGCCTTTTTTTAATGTTAATACAATCTAAAATCTAGCATTAAAAAATTTATCATGATACACCTGGTATATTGACTGCTTATGGCGCATGCTTGTCTTGGCAAAAAATAAAACAAATTGGCTCCCCCCCCACCCTCCCCTGTTTTTTT